CGCTTTGTTGGGGCCTGTCCCAGGCAGGGGCACATCTATGGGAAAGTAGCCCCAGGATGCCCATGGCAATTTGTCTTAACCTTCTCATGACAAGTTCTTTTCTGTCAGCTTTGAATTTTTGGTGATACCATGTGTTTTTTAATAATGGAAGGCATGCTGGAGTCAAGGGGAATTTTTTTCAGGTAATAGGGAATTTTGACACAATTAGGTGGGACTCATATGTCCTGAGTGGGCACTGGTGGTGGGATGAGACCCATTTATTCAGATGTATGCAGTTGCACAGGTATATTACAACTGGGACACCCACTTCCCGAGAAACCTGAGAAGTTGACAATGTTGGTGGGTACTATATGTACCATGGGTCACTAAAGGGTCAAATTGGTGTGTGACCTCTCAGCTGGCAGTGGAAACTGTGATGATTAAGATAATCTGCTCAGTGGCACCCACCCCCTCCAAGTGTCACCCAGAGCACATGCCATCCTGGGCACAGGTACATCTGTGGCCCTAGGCACGGTACAATAGTTTGCAGTATTCCTGGCTTCTACCTATGAGAACAAGCTGTGACAGCCCCAATGTCTCTAGACATGACCAACTGTCTCCTGGGGGGAAACTCGCCTCTGTTTGAGGAAGTCAGTGCCATCTGCCTCTTGTCACATGGCAAAGAGGGAGCTATCCCCTGGCCTTGACCCCTCCAACGTGAGCATAGCTATTTCTTGGCCATGAGACCCTGGGCCAAATGGTTTCCGTCCCTGTCCTCTGTGTCCTTGATTATAATAAATATACTCTGCCCTGTCACCCGTGTGTGCAGGGTATACCAACCGGTACTTCAAGAACCAATAGGGTCACCCAGGGTGGAGAGGTTTCAGCAGAGCCTCCAGACTTAGACAGACTGAGAAGAAACTTCTGAAAATGGGCCTTCTAGGTTACAAGGCCCTCAGAGCGCAGAGTGGCCTCCAGAGTGGACTGAGCACTCCGCTGATCTAGAAGATGGCATGGGATGGGCAGGGTTGTGTTCTGTTGGGCATGGGGCCGCCGTGTGTCAGGGCCAGCGCAGCAGCCCCTGGCAATGACAGAGGGTGCGGGGCTGTGCTCTGCAGCGCCTGGCATGCGGTAGATGCTCGGCTGATGGTCTTCTTGTCCCAGGGGCCATTTCTCGGGTCTTGAGGTGACTCGAGATGGCAGGTGGGGAGAGAGAGAAGAGTAGCCTGGGAAGTGGAAGCTGCCCCCAAATCCCATCACCTTCACGCGGGTCCTTCTCTCAGTGTCCCCAGAGGGACATGCTGGCAAGAGACACACACACACACACACACACACACACACACACACACACACACACACCGGAGGGGGGGGGGGCTTCCCTTCACATC